GCTATAGAGAAAGGCAGCCTGGGAAAAGACTGTTGGCTGTCTGAGTTTGAGATATGTGGAACAAAGAAATGTCAGCTCTACTAATACCACAGCTACTGACGTTTTTCCAGAAAAGCAGAAAAGAAATGGAACCTGAGCCATAGCACTTCTGTTTCAATGCAGGCTCCTTGAAGAACAGCTGTGGAGGAGGTTATTTCTAAGAGCTTTACAACAGCCAAACCAGTAATTCTATTCTTGTCCCAAGGCAAGACTTCTCAAGAATAATAACCAAAAGTGCCACTATAGTAGGGAAGAAAGTTTCATCAATGTTTGAATTGTGGCACTCAGGGGAACTTTAATAAATTTGGGTGAAGAGACAGTCCCTAGTTAGAAACTGTCTACCACTTAGTGCATTTCTGCCAGTTCCAGAACTGCTGAGACACGTGGAAAAGGTGACTTTGGGTAAATGGCATTGTCCAGAGTGTTACAGTCCACTAGTACAAAGTATTACAGTCACTAGCAGCAAGTGTTACAGTGCCCTACCAAAGGCATTCACTGAATTCTGGGGTCTAGAGAAGCTGTAGCCACTGAAGAATTAGGCTCTAAATTCAAACTGTCAGAAAACTTTCAGAATGATATTAAAGCTGACTATAAATGCCAAACTTTAGAAATGATTTGCATACTTTCTGTCTTGTTGAAGAAAATTAGTTCTGCTGAGATTCTTTCCAGATGTTTGCCATAGAGTTTGCTTTTGAATGTAAGTAAGTTTTAGTAAGATCTCTACTGGATATGTGCTAAAATAGTTTGATCGAGTTTCCTTTTGAATTAAGCATGTAAAATGTGTAATTATTGAATGTAAAGTGTGAATATTGAATGTAATTTTGTAAAAAGTGAATAGTGATGTTCATACTAGGATTGTTTTTATTACTTTTACCTTCAGATATATTTGAATACTTTTTATGATAGCTTAAAATATAATTTAATGATTTCATATGATAGCTTAAAATACAATTTTATAATGTTATATGATAGCTTAAAATATAATTTTAAGATGGCAGTAGCCCCTGGAAAACTTAAATGAAGATGTCATAATTAGGGGAGCTTTTCGGTCTTCTTCCTAGAAGTTTTCACTCCTGTTTCTGTTTAGAAAGGGGTAGACCTCTCACAAAGGGATAAACCTTTTTAGTTTGTAAAAGTGTTTTTATAATTAGCATGTTTTTGTTTACATGTGTGGATACTCTGAAGTGGTTTGAAATGACTATTTTCTCCTAGGAATCAAAATAGTCTCATGAAAGTTTTATTGAACATGTTAGGAGTTTTGATCTAGGAAGGGGATTTGGTGTAGCTAAGACTGCTGTAACCACCTTAGACCCATTACAATAAGGGTATTATTCCATCTTTATTAACCTCTACTCCTTTACAGGGAGATTGCTGTGGATGTTTGCAAGCTCGTGGCAGAGGCCTGGGTGTCCTCCCTCTTGCCAGAGGCTGGTAGCCAAAGAAGACAGGAACAATCTATCTGAGGGGCCTGGGAGGCCCTCTTTTTATATCAAGAAGGGAATTGTGGAGGCCCACAAGGGTTTCCTAGTGAGATCTGAGCTTGCTTTACCCAGCAGAGCTGCATTAGAGAATGGCTTGATCATGAGCACAGTTACTAGGTGATTGGAAAGGGTCTGCACTTGGCTGTGCTGGAGGGAGGTCTTTTGCTCCACTCCTTGGCATTCCTATAAATAGCCCTTTAGAAGAGACAGAAGGGGCTGGCAGATAAGGATTCAGGCCCACCCAAGGCTCTCCTCTGTTTCTGTTTATCTCCCCTCTATGCTCCTATCTAAATCTCTTATCCCTCACTCCTCAAATGTATCCTGCCCTAAAATGTGGGGCCAGTCTCCCAGCTGGGCTTCCACAATTGACCAAAGTCTAATTTAGGCCTCAAGAACAGAAGTCAGCTGACACAAACTGGATTGATGGTTTTCATTTACTATTATTAGTTGGATGGAGAGAGAGGAGGAAGAGGAGAGGGAGAGAATGAAAAGAAAATAATCATGAAATTGGGTGTCTAGGGATGCTGGGGAGGGGATTAATGAGCAAAATCACTGCATTTTGAAATTCAAGGTATAAATAAGAACATCATTTAAAAAATTTAAAAATTTTCATCTGTCTCAGCCCCCAATGCACATAGGTACTCACAGGAAACCTGATGGCCACACTGGCCGGGGGCCCAAGTAGATGATCTCCTCCTCTCATCTAATTACAATTCCCAAGTATTATCCCTAGCTTTGTATCAGATTACCTTCCTCTCTAACAGCCTTCACAGACTGTCTATGCCCATCCTGGTGGCACAACCTGCTTTCCTCTCTCTTGTGGACCTTCTCACCCACAACCCATCAAAGCCATCACCAGCTCCCCCAAATACTAGAAAAACATTCTACCTGGAACCCCATGACCACGCAGGATCTCGGAAGCAGGCAACCCACAGGCCCCACATTCTCATAAGAAACAGAATGGGAAATAGAAAGCAAGGATTAGAATATCCAACCAAAAAAGTAAAGACCAGTTATCAGCACCTAGAATTACAGGCAGTTCAAACTCAGATACCTAAACACTAGCATAAAAGCATATCAATAACAGCCAGGACTGTATGTCTCTACTGGAGCCTAAAAATGGACTATACTATGTCCTGAGAGATGACATGAAAGTAGAAAAAGAATCAGTAAGGAAAATCTAAACTGAAGGAAAATAGGAAATGAAAATTTTAGTAAGAACTTTAGAGGCACATTCACACATCAAAAGAAGTTGTTCAATAAGTAAACAAGGAGCTAACAGAATGGCAGAAAATCTTCACCATGATTACTCTTTAGAAAATAAACAGTTTAAAAGAAACAGCCATATCAAAAATGTGGCAGAGGACTGATGTAGTTTTTGAAGTGATCAATACTCCCAGACTTCAGGAACGTGAAAATTAACTACAATGAGTTTCCAACTTACACCATAAGGATAATTGCTATTATGAAGACAAATGATAAGAAAGTCATGGGAAAGTTGAACTATGCCACAGGGTAATATGGTTCAGACACTAAGGTAATTAGTGTGGAAATTTCCTGGAAAATGTGAAAAACACAGAACTCTCCTGTGACCAAACAATACCATTCCTGGGAATCTACTCAAAGGACTTCTTCAGATATAAAGCATATATAAAGTGTAAAGCACATTAAAGAATATATATATACACATATACATACATACATACACACACACATCTATACTCTGATGATCTACCATCAGTAGCTAGAAAATTGATGCATCCTAGGTGCTCATCTGATAAATAAGAAAATTATGATAGTATAACCTATAACCTATAAAATCATGGACTTTACCTCCTAATGGCTGAAAATGGTATGAGGTATAATTAGGGCCCAGGAAAACAAAGGACTCATTTCCTCCCTCTGATTAAAATGCAACCTTTGATTTTTAGATTTGTGTTTAACTATGAAATGCCTGGAGAGGTCTGGAAGATAGAATGTGTCTATCCAAGAATATAACATGTCATAGGAAAGTAGAATGGTAATTATTTTTCAAATAATATGTGGTATCATACATGCATAGATTATGCTGCTCCCAGAAAGCACATATTTAAACAAAAATCTTAATGTTTCGCATAAAATACGATGTTGTCAGGGAGACTCCAAGACAACAAAATCAAACAAGCCTTTGCCACAGTTCTTGGTTGCCAACCAAATTAGATGATACCCTACTACTGCAGGTAATGTTTCAGGTTCAGGACATAAATACATCAAGCAGAAACTGATTAGAACATTCCTCTTTGTTGGCTACCTTTCTTAGTGCTAGAAGGTGCTATGTGGTAAAAACTCATCCATGATCTTACAAAGCTGTAAACAATGCAAGCTACAAACCAGACTGCCAGATACAATGAGCCTAATGGTACAACTATGGCATTAGTGTTAAAGATAAAAACCACTTCTTTGCTTTTATCCTTTTTATATCAGGATATAATTTCAGCAGTTAGTACATGGACATATCTGGAAAATGTGATGTGTTATATGTTTTTTGGATGCTAGGTACTAATATCACTCCTTCCATGGTTCAGAAAACTTAAAGGGAAAGGGGAATTTTAAGAATTTAAGAGCTCAAATATGGAAAGAACAGAGAAATGTTTGGGGACGAAGCGTGGCTGCTATTCCATTGAATTCAAAGGCAGTAGGTAACTCCAAAGGATTTAGGATTTAAAGACAGGGCAAATCAATGTTCCATTATTTATGGGTTATGTTTCATACATCACTATACTCCCTGAGTATCTATAGGCAATTAAACGTTGCTAGGGAGAAGTAAATGTTATTCCTAAGTGATGTAGTTGAGTGGCTTTGCTCAAGTAAAAACCCTGCTTCTAAGGTATGTCAACATAAATCCATATTCCCAAAAAGACAAGGAAATAGATACCTTTGGAGCTGCAGTTACAGACAAATATAAGATGGGTGTTGGGAATGGAATATGGTCTGCTAGTGCATTACGTACTCTGAATAAATTCTCCAGGCACAGGAATTAAATATTTAGAAATGTTAACTACTATTTATGGGAGATACATAGGTAGTAGGATTCCTGAAAGTTCAACTTTAACATGAACTACACCATGAAGTCCAAGCTATCCTGGGGCACATTTTTATCTTTAACAAGTCATAATTTAAAGGGCAAGTATGAAAAATAATAATTAAAAAATAAAACCAACACTGAATTAGTAGAAAAAACTTTAGTATGTAGCATTACCTACAAGAGAATCTAACAGTACTTCATACTTGTATATATTCTAGAAGTACTATCCAATTCATATTTTCATGATTAAATGATAGTAGGAATTTTTGAAATTTAATGGAGACTATTTGGAAAGGATGTGAAAATGAATTTCATATATCATAAATCACATTGAATTGATATTATGAACCATTATATTAATGAAATTTATGGAATGCAAAGGTGTGAAAACATTTAGTTACAAATAGAAGACATACCTTGAGGTTGTATAGGAAGACTCAATTTTAAAGAAATCTATTCTCTCCTACTTAATCTATTAAATGTGGTGCAAATGAAATTAAAAGTGCATTTTTTCCAACTTGACAAATAATTGTAAGCATCAACTCTGAGGAAAAATTTGACTACATACAGGTAATACTCTGAAAAAGAAGAGAAAGGAGGCTGAACTCAATAGAACAGGTAAGACAGTATAAATCGTCAGTAATAAACAAGTTAATAGAGGAGAAAGCAAACAGGCATGCAGTAAATTACATGAGTTTTCTATATGCTAGATTTTAAGAACAGTATAATTCAATGGAAATAATTTTATTATTTAATATTCTAGGATATTAATAATTGGAAGCAAAAGAATTAGAAAAATCTCTGATGAAAAATTAGGGAGACAACACAGCGAAGTATGATATGAACATAAACATGCTTGCAAAAGAAAAAAAAACAAGACTCCAAAGACATGAGAGAACATGATTGTATTTCAATGAATAAGTTATGTACAACCTAGTATTAAAACGAATAGAAAACACATAGGATTTCATTTGACACACACAATGACCTGCTTACAGACTCATTTACAAATGGGTTTATAAATAAGTAACAGATACTCAGCATGGAAACTGAAACAGAACAACAAGTAGAAATAAATAGCATGATGATTCAATAATATTAAATAAATAATACTTTATAATATTATATAACCAGTAAATACAAGAAGTGTACTATTAAGTAAAATATTTGTAGTTTTAATAATTTATTTAATAATTCAAATCCACTAATTCATCTTAGGGTATTGACTAAAATATAGATTTGATATAATTTGCCATGGTACATCAAAGCGATGCAAATTATTCTGAACTCTCTGTGAGATTCATATTTCCATATAAACATAATTACTACATAGAAAATATAAAGCTATTCTTTCAACTCATAAGAGATGCACTTACAAATATATATGAAAAAATACTCCCAAGTACCAGAGAATTCCATAAACTTTGGTTAACACTGTATGTTAAAATTAGGATGAATTTTAAATATAATATAAAGCTTCATACAACACTGTTCTAACTTAGCACATGGTCCATTTCTATAATCTCACCACTCAGGTAGCTGAGGCAAAGTGAGTTCAAATGTCAGACTGTGCTACACAGTTAAACCATTTGAAAATGAAAATTTATAATCAGTTCTAATTACTTCAAATCAGCTTCAAGAATACCATGAAGTCGTTATTATCATGAGAAGCACTTCGTACTTATGAAAACACTGTGAAGGCAATGTCAGTTCCATCATACTATTTTTATCCATGTGGTAGTGTCTCCATTTATTGAGTTAGTCCAACAAAATCAATGAAAATCTTTAAATATATATAAAATATTTTCTTCAAAGACATATTTCAGTCTCCATCCAATAAGTTGAGTTCAGTTTTAATGATCAATAAGATTAGTCACGCAACACCTTCTGAGATCTTTTTACAATTATGAAGGTTGTAGATACAATGATTATCTATTTTGGTGATCACCTAAAAGCACAAAGGAAGAAATTCAGAACCATTAATTAGTATTATCAAAGTACAGTGTATTTTATTTTTATATAAAAACAGGCATTTCTTATTCTTAAACCACAAATAATAGTACTGAGCAAGTCAGTTTTCTGTATTACTGAGTTTATTTAATTTTCATTGTCCTTGCTAGTTTGGTAAATACAAACACTTTCAAATACGCATATATGGCCACTTGAACCTGTTTTCCCCGTTCATTCTCACTATCCTGCTTACTTTGATCTTTAACTATGCATATAATGTGACCACCAGCATCATGCTACTGCTGACATGCTCTCCCTACCACTGTAGAATGTTCACTGAACTTTGAGCCCATATAAATACTTAAGTGATTTGATCATATATTCTTTGTAGTGAGGACTGAACTCAGGGCCTTGTGCTTGCTAGGCAAGCGCCCTACCACTGAACTAAAACACTTACCCCCTGGATCATATTTTTTAAATGTTTATTTTCAGTATTTCAATTATGGGTGTATTATGTATATATGTGTATGATGGTTGTGAGCTACGAAGCATGGGTTCTAAGAACTAAACTCAAGAGCCTTTGAAAGAGAAGTACTCACTTTTAACTGCTAAGCAATTTATCTCAACCTTTATCACGTGTTTTTTCTAAGCAACAAATCACAAAACCAAAATTGAATATGTAAGCCAATTAAATAAAGGGCAACAACATTTGTACATGTATTAAATCATTGTTTTAATAACATGACCTCCTAAAAAGACTGTTTCAGGAGGACTAGAGATGTTAGATGGCAATTTCCAGACATGAACAGCACTGAGTGTAATTCTTATAACTGCATAAACCAGGAATGAGGGTGCACATCTTTAGTCCTGGTAGACAAAGGAATCAGAAGTTCATGTCCATCATCAGCTACATAGAGTTTGACACCAGCTTTGGATACCTCAGACAAATCTCAAAGATTTATAAATCTCAAAGGTATATAAAATAACTAATTCAAGGTTGCAGTTAAGTTTACTCATAGTGTACTCTGGCTCATACATGGGAGCCACAGATTTCATACCAATCACTGGGGAAAAAATGATTTAATTCAGAAAATTCAAATACATGAAAACAATAATGTTGGAAATAATATTATTTTTGCTACACCTAGCCCAAAATGACCTACTCTGGTGATAGGATGGCCAAATACCCTAATTGTCGTGCTAGAAACCTCATCCAATGACTGAGGAAACCGGATGCAGAGATCCACAGCCAGGCCCCAGGTGGAGCTCCAGGAGTCCATTTGGTGAGAAAGAGGAGGGATTGTATGAGCAAGAATCCTTGAGAACAAGGTTGAAAAAAGCACAGGAGCAATTAGCCAAAGAACGGAAATACATGAACTTTGAACCAATGGATGAGGAGCCCCAAACTGCATCAGGCCCTCTGGATAAGTGCGACAGTTGATTAGCTTGATCTGTTTGGGAGGCATCCAGGCAATGGGACCAGGACCTGTCCTCAGTACATGTACTGGCTGTTTGGAATCTGGGGCTTATACACAGACACTTGGCTCAGCCTGGGAGGAGGGGACTGGACCTGCCTGGACTGTATCTACCAAGTTGAACTTAATCCGCAGGGGAGTCTTTGCCATGGAGGAGATGGGGATGGGGAGTAAGATGGGGGGAAGGTGAGGGGGGAGAGGGGAGAACAAGGGAATCTGTGGCTGATATGTAAAATTAAATTATAAAATTAACTAAAATAAAAAATAAAATTAAAATCCTTTCTTACCTATAGTTTGTTGTTCACTTTAGTAAAGTAAATTTTCGTAGACTCCAGAAGTTGCTATCACAGTAGGTTTAATAAGTCTGTCATCATAATTACCTGAAAAAAAAGTAGCCAGTACAAAGCATGTTGTTTATGAAACATGTATTAGGAGAATTATTCTGTTCTCAGGGCCACAAATTCATATTTAACAGCAAATATTTCTATCCAGGTCTCACTTATTATGTGTGTGGGAGCCCTCAGTGTCCAGAAGCATCAGATACCAAAAGATGAGTAATATGTCTTTGGGTGCTACAAATATAACTGAAGTCCCCCAGAAATACAGTTCATGTACTCAACAAACCTTGACTCCAGCATCTTATTTTTAATTCATGTGTATGTGCTTGTATGTGAATATATGCATGTGAGAGCAGATGCCTGATTCAGAGACATTTTAGATTCCCCAGGTTCTGGAGTTACAGGCAGCAGTGAGTCACCACAAGTAGCTGGGGACAGAGCTCAGGTCTGAAAAAATGTTAAGTGTTTTTAACAGGTGAGCCATCTCTCTACCACTCTAAATTTCTATATAATAGTATCACTATTTAAAGTTCTCCCATGTAATTTCGTAGGATCTATGCATCCGTAAATGCCTACATGAGATCACTGAAGCATATCAAACACATACAATAAAGGAATAATCTATTCTTCATATATATATATATATATATATATATATATATATATATGTATATGTATATGTATATATACATAGAATGACTGGAATTTAGTTTAGTAGTTTAGTGGTTCAGCTTGTACTTTACCATGCTTCAGACCCTGGGTTATATTCCAAGCACAAAAATGTAATATTAAAATTTGCAATTTATCCCAAATGTGACATAACAAAAACTATTTAATATAGCATCCTATACCCATTAGGATACCATGCCATTATAAATGTTTACCCTTTAAACATTTATTTGATACATTTCACTCATAGGTTCATCACTCAAAATATAATCAGCTTAATACTCACGTGAACTTTCATCTTCTCCTTTTTATTATTGGATAATGAAACTCATTGTTGACACATAAGGTGCTGGAGTGTCTAAAATTCTTCACAAAAATGTGCAAAAACCATTCATAAGGGCTGCTAGGAATAGAAAGTTGGATATGGCAACCCATCACTCCCATGATGTTGACAATCAAAGGTACAGGCATAAATTGTCTCTTTTTTGTTGTTTAGTTGCTTATTTGCAAAGGCCCTTCTAAAATACAAAGGCAGATAGAAGTGGTCTTACTCCTTTCTATTTTGAAGTATTAAAACATTCTTCCTGAACATGTTTTCTGTTTGCATAAATTGTTCATTTGTACTAGATGTTCTCATGTGACAATTTCCAAGCATGAATACACTGTTTAAATCACTTGAATAAATCTTCAATCATTACTAGAAAATAACATACATCATAATACAGAAGTATTAACTTTCAGACTGATATTTCCTATTTGCAATTAACATTTCCATAATTATCCACTTTAATTGGAAGAACTAAAATGTATCTACATGTAGGTCAATTGTACATACCTTCAATTAAAATTCAACAAACACCATTTCTATAGAAAAAGGATATTTCAAATACTAAATTACATTCACATTAAGCTATAATCCTTATGATCTGTTCACTGACAGATCTGGCATTTTACTATTTTTATATTCAACAATTAAATTTGAGAATCAGAAATGATAAAAATCTTAGTAGCCAACTCCAAAATATCAAAAAAAAAATTAAATAGTCTTATAATTCCTGATTTTGTAGGAAGGTATTCAGTGGGTTTTTTTTGGCTTTCATGTTTTCTTCTGACACAGGGTCTTATGACCCATGACTGGCCTCAAACTGGGTATGTAGCCGAGTATAATCTTGGCAGGTGCTGGTATAAGTGTTCCTCATCAAGCCCAGCTCTATAATTTATATTGCCTTTAATGTCATACAAGCTACTTTTGCTTACAGTACATTAGAGGGAACACCAGATGTTTACCTTTAATAATCCTACATGAAAATTATACAAAAATAAAACATGTTTTTAAAATATTATACACTGAAGATATATACATACATAAATAAATTTATAAGATGTATAAACAAACAAACAAAGTTATAGGCTCTTCATCAACACAAAATGTGTCTATCAATAGCATTGAGATTGCTAAATAATCTGAATTAGAACTAAAATATTAATTTTTAATTTGTAGAGTGGGAATAGTAATGTAAAAACAAACAAAAACACATGAAAGATGAAAACTAAGTAGTTTATATACTACTATAACATAAAATGTATGTGAATGTAATATAATTATAGATATAAACAAATTTGCCTAGATTAAATAAGCAAGAAACAATGCTTTTGTAATTATATCATTAATTTTAATTCTTTTTTACTGCTCATCTTTCTTCATGTAGATAAAAAGTATCTAATTCTATTCTTTAATTTTTCTCCAAGTAAAAATAAGACCTAGCTTATTCTTCCCTCCATGAGAAACTACTTAGAAACCTTTTTATACTTAGTAAACTGAGTAGTCCTTATCTATTGCATTGAAAAAGCATTTGCTGGAATAATTTTATTAATGTTAGATTACAGTGAAATATTCACAGGCTTATATTTTGTTAAGAATGTATATCTAAAAAAGGAATTTTTCAAATGGAAATATTTATCAGTTATTTACAACATGTCTTGAATGCTGTCATGCAATGTAAATATAAGGGTTTATTAATTCAGAGGTAGAAGTAACTCTTCTTAAGAGTATTTATCTATAGTAATTAACAAGGTATTTTAACATGATGGCCTATCATTAATACAACCACAGAATTATAATTTGCACTCTTAAATGTACAATATAAACCTTACTTATCCTATGGTTAATGAAGACTTTTCTTGAGATTATGTAGCCAAAGTTAAATTTAAATATTCTCAAGAAAACTCACCCCCCTAACAATAAACATAAAGTAGAAAAAATCTCAACTTTAAAAATTTCATTCCCGAAATTTAGTGGATGCAATGAAAGTTTACAATGATGTATTTACAAAATTATACCCTGTGACACTCTATACATCTAGAAAGACTAGATGTTAAAATTTTGTATTTGACTATTATTTACAAAGTTGTCTTGAATATTGTCATGCAACCAGGAAACACATACAAAACTTTGTAGTGTCCCAAGAGGTAGTACAAAATCTTCATGAAAGTTGACAAAAAAAAAGTAGAAAAGAGGTGCATCAGTAGGCTCATTATTGCTCAAGAAGCCAACTGAATTACCTACCATGTCATTTTTTAATGTGCAACTCACATGAAAAAATGGTCAACTATCCTAGTATGAGAATAGAGTATATGCATAGTGTTTATAATTTCTCCTTTAACATTCAAACAAACATGAAAAACTGTGAGCTCCATGATTCCCTCTATAAACTATCAGTTTGTCATATTAATTGTAATAGACAACAGTATTTACAATATATTTATAAGCTTATAATTTCTAAGTCTCAGTATCTCTAGAATTACCAGTTGCTTGATATAAAAAATAGCTTATTACTTACAACGTTAATTCTTGCCATGTATCTGATGAATACAGAACTATGTAATTCTGAAATATCTAGATCATTTGGAGAAATAAATTGCATCACAATTCTCAGTGATCAGAAAAATAAAATGAAGCTACATGCCTTTTATATAGCATACACATTTTTCAAAGGACAGTGATATTTTATGCTTATATTTGAGTTATACTCCTAAATAATTTTCTTGACAACATGGTAGAATATACACACATATATTTTTGTACTATATATATTAAAAGAGGACTTTGCTAACACTATGTTCAGGTAATACAGCTTTAGCATACAACACAATGAAACCTACATAAAGATAAGGATTTTAACAACAAAAATAATTTATTCTTTTCCTATAGTCTATACATTGAAAATCTGAACTATTACAGGACAAATGTTTAAATATAACTTTCCATAAAGAAAAGTTATTCTCTACTCATGAAGTTTTTAAAATAATGTAGCTACATACATTTGAAACAGAGTTTTAAAACATTTTATCACACAAAAGCACTTATTCTAAATTTTGAAAGTAAAATATATTCAGAAAATGTAATCACAAATTATGCAGATAGTCAAAAGTAGTCGTATATATATGAAGTGGTTCAAATAAACCTCATATAAATTAAATACAAAATTGATATTGATAGTTCTAATGATTAAATCTTATTATTAACACCATGTGTATATGGTAGTTGATGGGAGTTGGTGTTTCTACAAATGTAGGAATTTCAGACAGTCTACACAAAGTCAGTCTATTATTTCTGGGGTAGTCAAACACTGCCAGGTTACATTTTAAAAAATGAAGAGATACTAGTAGAAACAAGTTGAGAATTAGATTGGATAAAAAGTCTGCACAATATGCATTACTTAGAACAACTGTTACAGTCCTCACAAATATTTAAACAGAGGGAAGGGGGATCAAATCTTATTATGTAGCTTACTTTTCTGACAATAAAAGATTCAGTTCCAAAAACATGACTGATAAATGGAACCATGGAAGATTCACTGACAGAAATCTGGTGTTTGTTGAATGTAACTGACTAATTTTATAAATCCAAAGTATGATACAGCAAAACATTGCTGTATCATATTCTCTGGTGACAAAAAAAATTGTAATCTTGTATTTCAGCAACTATTGTTTTATCTTAGTATAGACATACTCATGAATTAATATGTATATCATATTGCATGTACATACATGTAATATGGGACAATCATACTTACATCAAAGACTAAAAATTTAAAACAGCAAAAAATGTACATTTTATTTATATCATGTAAGAAAATGCTGTAAATGATGTTAGTTATATGGATATGACACAAATGTTAAAGAATATAATATGTACTATGTCTTTGAAATAATGATGATACTTGGGGACTAATAACATAGGGTCACTAGACTTTTGTTCACAGACAACTTTCCTATCATAAAGGACAAGTATTCCTTGGCATCAGATTCATCCACAAAACATACCTAATAATTTCTCATAGGGATATAGCCATGTAAAAATCATCTCTCTCAATGGTACCCTCTTATCTACTGAATCCTTTTTAACATGGCATAAAAACAGTCTAGAATTTCCTGAACAAGCAATAAAATAATTCTAGTAATTTAATGATCTTCAAATGCAAAAATCATCACTTTTCTTTATAAGATTAAATTAACATGGTGCATTATTCTATTATACACATTTCAATGTAAAAGAATATTCAATCCTAGATATAACAGGGTGATGTTTTTCTGAATTCCATCATGACAAAGAAATTTGTTAAGTAAATAAACATAAGCTTCTTTGACAAACATAACCATGACTAACATATATAAATAAGTACTCAATGAAAGGATAGCCACAATAATCCAATAAAAGATTGTACTATACTATAGAAATTCTACTTTTATTATGAAACTATTTAAAAACATTTCTTCTATATTTTAACAAACACCACAATTGTAATCCTCATAAAGAAAATGACAATCATATTTGAATGACTTCTCAAATGTAGTGAAAATAATGACTTTTTGCAATTTATATTTTATACACTTTTTATAGCCCCTTGTTTCACATTATCCTTAGCAACTTAAAACATGAATATAACATTAACTTGCTTGCCATAATCTTTATGAAATGATGATTTTTACCAAATATGTAATAGAAATTTCTCTTGTGGTTACTTATTTTATCACAGCAATCATTTCACATACCATATTCTTGTTCAAAATCTAAGTGATTTTTACAAAATAAACCAAAAAATAAATACAATTATTTTCTGATTTTACTCTGAACCATGAAAATACAATACTTTGTTTAATCAAGAACCATCTTACATTTCTTTGTTAACTAAATTATGCAAATCAGCTAGTATATACTTAAAGTAATATTGTATCATTTATAAAAGTTATCAGAACCTCAAGATTTAGAGATGATTTACAATTGTATGAGAACATAAATCTACTTGTTGTATATACAAGCAGATATGCAAAGATTCAGAGGTAAATCTTACAAAGGCAGGAGAATATCCCACATTAAGAAAACACTATATCAGTAGCTGATATTACACAAAGAAACGCTCAAGGAGGCATGTCAGAGGAACAAAACCAAACTGGTATATAGATAATTATCCAGACGCTGCCAAAACAAGTATCCCAAATAGGGAATAAGTTCTCTTGCTGCCAAAAATTAAACAATTTAATAATTACTCACACTCAGTATCAGCAATCACAAAGTTAATTCACCTCCCCGTTTATATCATAGTAACACTTTCTCTATTCCACCAATGCCTTGTGAGGATAAAGATAAATTAACCTCTCTGAATTCCATCTCAGCATTCTGGTAAATATCAAATTCCTATCTTTTTCAAAATCACTGAATGTCTTACTAACAATCTAGCAATACCTCAATATATTAAATGGAAAAGCTATCAGAATGACTAGGAACATGCTCAAGAAACTATAACCCAGGGTAAGAACTGGGTAACTGGAAAAAGACACATTAGCTTCCAAGGTCTTTCTCAAGTTTCTTTATCAAATGAAAATCAAGGTGAATGCTATTATGTGATGTGAACATAGAGGCACTTTACAAAAGGAAATGTAACGAGTATAAAACCAATTTTGCTATATTGGAAAAATCTACAGCTCAAGTCTCCTTGAAAAAAATTTGTGATATCATATTCTAATAACTTAAGTTTCAAAATTTTGTTACCTAAGTCATTAATATGACACTTTGGCTAGACTTCAGAGTAATCATTGAGCCTCATTTCATCATGCTCAGTAAACATATCTCATCATAAATCCAGCCAAGGTCCTCTAAAAGGTATTTACCAAAAATTATGTAAAAAATGGAACGTGGTAGGTAGTTACCAGGTACTGAAGTGGTAGGAAAGACAGTGAGTTTGAGGGGCCTGATTTCGAAAGTAACTTATGGTTTACAGGTATGTTTCAGTAACAGAGCAATTGTTTCACAAGAACAAGATCCTGGGCTAAATTAACACCACGAAAAACAATGTTGAGTGTATGGAGGATAAGTTTATGGTTATCTAATGAGATATATAGGACATCTTGAGTTCAAACGTCAATGCTCATTCATGCATTCTTTCTGTATCTATCTCTCTCATACACACACAAACACACACACAAATAAATTAAATAAAATTAAAAAAAAATACCCAGTAATCTTACCACATGAGATCCTAGCATGAGAATCAGTGATAAGCTTTATATACTAACTCAAGTAGAGACAGCTTGACAGACAATGAACTGAAAAAAGAACTGAGTCCTGAAAGTTGATCGCCACAAGAACACCACGGATAGAGAAAGCACTGGAGCCCATGTGCATTGATGCATGCATGCACACAAGCACGCACACAAGCACACACACAAGCACACATGTGTACACACATACAGACACACACTAATTAAATAAATGAAAGAATAATAAATAAAAAAATTAATGTGAATGATTAAACAAATGAGTAGGATTAATGCAAGTCTGTAGTCCCACACTTAGGATACTGAGGCAGGAATATTGTGACCTGGATGCCAGTTTGGCTGAGTTATATAATAAGACAATGTTTCAAAAGTAAAAAAAATCAAGTAAAATAAAAAAAAAAAACAAGCCAAAACACAAACAAGCAAACAAAATTCAAACAGATCCTTTTCCCATCCATTTTAACACTACGCAAGAAACAGTACTCAAGGCCCTAGAGTTTAATCCCCAGGTTAAAAACACAATTGAATAAATGTGCAAACTAACAATTCATAGACAAACATATACCAGCAGCAAAGTAAGAATAAGATCCAGGGTTTCATAAAACTAAATATAGTAGATAATTATCTCTTTCCACACATAAATCATCTAAAGTTTCTATCTGTCACCACAGATTATCAAAAGCCCATTGTTTTTACAAAGGTTTTTGTCATGAAATTTTAATTGTTACCTGATGTCTCCAGAAGGTACAAAAATGGCAGCTTACCTATTGATGATTCTATAATAGCAAATGACAAATGACTTTATCTTGTGCTAGCTATTTTTTGCCACTTTGAAAGTGACTCATTGACCACATCTAATTCTAACATAACATCCTGATGACTATCAAAACTTTTAAAATGCATTCTTAATAAGACCCTAGCTTTCAATACATCAAAATCTAAGAATGTCATCAAATAGAACCTGATTCTTGGAATTTAGATTTTCCCACTTTATTATAACTTCCCTCCCTGATTTTTCCCCATTTATGACCTTGTTTTGCTTCAGACAACTGGTCCTACACAAGAACAGTGATATGAGGCAACTTGAATCTATGTTCCTAAGCTATGAACCTTCTAATTCTTCCCTTGCATAAATTCTTTACTCTCGTTGAGGTGACAATTGCAATTTTGTTTTGACAGCGTTTTTGGGGGAGTGCATTCAAATGTGGAGTACCAAAGATGGTACATTGTCAACAAACAAATTCCCCAGATATGAGCCATATACCAGCATGTAGCTTTGTGCCTCCAACTGGTGTTACTTCCTTGGCTGGGAACTGATATAAGCATTACAGAAAGTAAATAAATAAATAAGTAAGCATTACAGCAAGCCAATAAATAAGTAAATAAATAATCCCATGAGCATGAATAAATACATAAATGATATGGTGAACCAATAGATAAATATATAAATAATCCAGGAGTCAATAAATAAATAAATAAACAAATAAATAAATATTCAGGTGAATGAATAAATCTGTAAGTAAGTATTACCGTGAGCCAACAAATACATAAATAAGTAAATAAATAAATAATCTGGCAATACAATAAATAAATATATAGATAAATATGAGGAGAAAATAAACAAACAAATAATCCGGTGAGCCAAAAAATAAATACTTGAGTAAGTATCCAGTGAGACAATAAACAAACAAATAAATGAATGAATGAATAAAATAAGAATCACAGAGTGCAAATCAATAAATATGTAATGGATAAATAAATATTTAACAATTCAACAAATTAAAAAAAAAATCAAGAAGTTAGTATGTATTCTGGCAAGCAAATAAATAAAAAAAAGGTTAGAATTAGGGGAGTCAATATATATATATATATATAAATAAATAAATAATCTGGCATGTTGATACATCGATAATGAAGCAAGGCAATATATAAATAAATAGATTAATAAGCCAAAAAATAAACAATTAAAAAGCAAACAATAAATAGATTAAGAAGCCAATAGATAGATGGGTGAATGGATGGACAGATGGATGGATAGGTAGGTAGGTAGATAGATGATAGATAGATAGATAGATAGATAGATAGATAGATAGATAGATAGATAGATAGATGGATAGTCTAACAGAGTAGAGGCATGG